GCGTGAATCTTCAATTAGGGTAACCAACTCCGCAAGCGCGATACCCTTCCGTCGCCGAGGGCTTCTCCCATCTTCCTCGCCTTCCTCTTTGACAATCTCAGCCTTTTTAAAGCCTTTTTAAACATGGGGCGTGATATTTAGCCTCCAGCGCTACCATCCAAGTCACCCGCGATTAACTTCACTCAAACGGCTTGACACGCGCATCTAAACCAATTGTTGAAACATTGTAAAGAGGGTTATCACGTGTAAAATACTCTCCACAAAAAAAAACATGTACCCCTGTTGTTGAGAGATGCAAGCGAAGCAGAACGTGTACAAGTTCCACCATGCAACCGGCTGTTCACTTTCAAGAGGATGTCTTTTCTCTGCCTTTTTCAACTTTGTAGAATTGAAGAGATCACAGCAACCTTTGTGCCAGCGTGCTTTGTACGTTACGATCGTATTCTCTAATTCATCACCTTCATCTAGCAATGCAAGGTCTTTCTGTATAGGCATGCAATCGAGGTCCCTGAACTTCACTATATTCCCAGCCAGGGTCTTGTGGACTGATCCAACATCACACGAGCGCTTGGAAATCAGCAGGACACCGTTAAGACTCTACTTTGTTTCGCTGACAAATGGCACGTTCATTCCAGTCGGTCTTAGCAATAGCATCGGGTGTTGCCTGTTTATCTCTGGAGCTACTGACACTTTTCAGCACTTCTTTACGAATAATTCAAGTTTCTGATGTCAAGATAAAGTACAATAATGTATATACTCAGTACATCTTTTTACATTGCAATATCTGATTGGTACAAATCGAGCTGACTAAAAGTAAAATAGAAACAACACCAACAACAACAAGTACCCAGTAATTTCGTTAACTTGAGCAAATACTCATTTCACTGTATTTGATTGTATTTTTACATCAGTTGACTCAAAATCGATTAACTCGAACCGTCTTCTCTAAGAGGGTTTTTGCTGACTATCCACCGGTCCCTTTCGAGGAACGGATGCACTTTTTCCTTCTAAACGACAAAGAATTCTGTGGGCTCCAAGATTTCCTCAAAAGAAAGGCAAAACACGAGAAATAAAATCGCGAAATTCTAAAACTTAGCTTATTTCACAGGTTGCAGTAAACAGATTTGTCTTTCCTGCTTTTGACTTTATTGCACATATTTTTTTCTTTTCCTTTTCTTTGCTTTTTACTTATTATCTGTAATATCTGATTTGTAATAGAATTAATTTGGCACGCCTCGACTAACGTTTTTGGCTAACTGCGTGCCAAGTAATTGTGCAGGTAATGTTATGATAATATTAAAATGTCTTGTCTATTGTCTATTGTCTAAAAACAACTAGCCTGCGAAAACATCCGTTTCTCCTCGCTCTGCGCCGCCGGGGACGTTTCGTTCCTCCGCGCGAAACGTCCCCATCGGCGAAGAGCAAGGAGAAACGGATGTTTTCGCAGGCTAAAAAACAACTTAAACCCATTGGAAAGGCAGCAAGCCAGTTTTTTTTTCAAGTCTTTTTGTCCATATATATATAAAAAAATTGCCACTCAGAAATACAATTCATATCTTCGCGATGCCATGTATCCTCTGTTTATTTTTCTTCATTGTTATAACCACCGGCCTTTTTTTAATTTTTTAGTTCGAGATCGATCGTTCATCCCAGACAGGTGTGTGTGTGGGGGGGGGGATAATTTTTCAACTGGCTTGCAAGAAATGTGAGGATGGTCGAACTTGTTTTAGATGCAGAATAAGCAAATGTGAGCAAAATGATGAAAATTATTCATATCTTGATAACTTTATTGACAGGTAATTTGAGTCGTGAAAAATGGCTAACACGCAACATCCACCAGACGTCAACATTACCCTACTCAAGACAAAGGACCTAAAGGGCAAGAGCATAAGTTGGGAGAATATAGAGCTCCCGAGAGACTTTCTTCTGTTGACAGTGAAAGAATGCGAGTTTTTAAGTTGCCTTTCACTCCTGAAAGGTGGATTCACCAAGAGTTATCGCCAAGACCTTGGATATGTGTACTTCGGGAATATTGGTGAAGATGGAGAGACGAAGCAAAAAATTGCCTTGATGAAATGTAATGCAGGTTCGGCCAGCCCTGGAGGCTCCACTATTGTTGCTCAAAAAGCCGTCGGTGCCTTAAGGCCTAAAGCTGTTATCAGCGTGGGGTACTGTGCAAGTGTGAACCGCGGAAAAGCCAAACTAGGAGATGTGGTAGTTTCAGCAAAGCTAACAACATACGCACCTACCAAGCACACAGATGATGGTATTGAGGAACTAGGCCACAGCGTTCCCCCAAAAAGGCATCTTGCGGACCTCATAAAAAGTGTTGATGAAGGCTGGGAAGCACCTCTACAAAATTCAGATGAATTAGACGTGAAGGTAGACCGCGACGGAGTATTTCTAAGTGGGCCTGAGGAGGTCAAAAGCCAAGAACGGTGTGCACAACTCAGAAAGCGATTCCCAAACGCTGTTGCAATAGAAATGCAAGGAGAAGGTAGTGGTGAAATAAAACAACTTAAAAGCAATCATTTTTCGACCTTTAGCTCATTTTACTAGCCTACAAATAAATCCGTCTCTGAGTCCTCGCTCCTCGCCGCTAGGGACGCTGCAGGTGCCAGGAGGGACGCAGGTTTTGAGTAGCACTTGCCGGAACCAGACTTAGAACTTTTGCGTTACTTTGTACTGGCATCATTTCTGGCGAAACGCCCCTTCAGTTCAGTTCAGTTGAGTTTATTGTTTTTCCATAAGTTGTACAAAAACAAGAAAATCTAATTATTTAAAACGCCGATGGCGTGGAAACCTAAAGGAAGTCACCGGCCTTATAAGGAATGGGCTACCTCAGTTAAGTTATTAGAACAAAATGTTATCATAATTACTCTGACTAGCTCTGAGGAGCGAGGAGAGACGGCTGTTTTCGTACACTAGCATTTCACACGAAACTGTCATAATGATGCCCTTTCTGATCGGCCTGTTGTTTTCTTTTCCTTACATATTTAGGCCTTTACGCAGCGGCGCACAGTCTTGACATTGAGTGGATTATCATAAAAGGCATCTCTGAATACGCAGACGGTAGCAGTACTCTAGCGGATTCTTGGAGACAATTTGCCAGTGTAATGGCGGCTTCTTTGACTGCGCACATGCTCAATGATTCCTGTGTTTTCCAGACATGGAGTCATTATGGAGGTAAGGCTTGGAAATCATTCCTAGAGCTTTCAAATTCCTCTCCCTGTTTTCTACTGTTTAGTTTTTACGGTCAGTAACATACCAAAGAATCGTGTTTAGGTAGAAGCACGCTGCCTCGTAGTGAAAATGTTTCATTAAGTATCATAAAAAATTCTCCTTCTATCCTTATACTTCCCATGAGACTCCAGGCACCTCAGGTACATTCTCAGTTAGTTTCCAGAAGCAAACCTGACTTCTTTCCTCTGTTGTAGTTGTTGTCCCAGTCTCATCTAGTGTGAATCAATGAAATGTTACAAACAATTGCAAAGTGACCTGATGTCTTGGCGTTTTGGATATCATATTGAACCCGCCGCCTGATCATCTTCTTGATATACAAATGATTTGCTTCTTCAACAAATCAAAACGAGTAGCTACACTTGCAAAAACGTTTTGGATGTAAAATGTGTAAATGTGCAACTTTATAAGTGAGTACAGTGTAAAATAATGCAACTAAAGTAGGTAAAACAGGAAGAATGTTTCTCCACCATATTCAGGTCAAGGTCCACAGCCCCAAACTCATGCACAGACCACAACAGTGGTACCATCTAGAGAGCCCTTGGTTCCTGTGAGAAAGAATGCTAAAGGTAAGGGTAGTGGCACTTTAGTAGTTCGGTTTTGTATCGTTGCGCTTCTTTATTGGATGTAAAATTTTGTGTCTCTTTCTTACCCCGTGTCGCTGTCACAGTGATATGGTCATCCCTGCGTTTTGGGGATCCCCTTCTCAAAACCCTAGTGATATGGGCATCCCCTGTAACCATAAACCAAATCGCTATAGGTAATCTGAGAAGGGGATGCCCATATCACTAGGTTTTGGGAACGGGAATGCCCATATCACTGTAACATCGCCACTTTAGAAAGGAGAAGGAAACTGGGCCGAGTTAATTTTCGCAAAGACTTCTGGGGCTGTTACCAGGGATGTGACCCCAAATAAAATATTGTCTTGTCTTGTCTTGTCTTGTCTTGGCTAATGATCCCAGAAACTGCGGAACGCATTTCAGCTCCAGCTCCTTTCTCATTTCTTAAGTGGCGAATATAGAAGGAGAACGGACTCGCTCTTGACTTCATTTGACTTGCTGTTCTGGGAATCCTCGGCAATTTCCTCCTTATCCCATGACAGTCTTTATTGGAATTAAAAACATTAATAATCAACAAAAATAGTGTGGCAAATAAATTGTTGTGATGGTTATTTAAAACATGCAATTCGGTCATCGCTTACCACATTCCACGCTGAGGGGAGATAAGGCGTCCAATTTAAGATAAAGGTTGCTCAACATTTCTGGGATAACCGTAATGCTAAATGTACTTTGCGCCTTTGCCATTTCAGTCAAGGCAGGCCCTCCCTCAGATGACGATTTAGAGGAGCTGTCACTCAAGATTGCCGACAACTGGGAAAGGCTGGGGCGTCGACTGGGATTTGACCGTGCAAGAATAACCGCATATCATAGAGAAAATGAGAAATTGTCAGAAAAAGCTTTTAACATGCTTATGGATTGGAAGCAAAGCAAGGGCTCCGATGGTACCTATCAGGTTTTATATGACGCCCTGTGCCATAAATTTGTAAACTGTAAAGGTATAGCGGAGAAAATCTGCTGTTGTCAGTGATTCTAACATCAGTTTAGTTAAAGATCTTCTTACCCAATCTGAAAAACAAAAGATAGAAAGAATTTCCTAACATGCTACGTGAATTGTACGCGCTTTACAGGTAGAATACTTGATATATCAAACAAATAGACAACAATTTTTCACCTCTGAATTCCAAGGATTTTCTTGGCCAATTCACTTACTGAGAACAAGCAGAACATCAATAATAATTGCCACAGAGTGAGTCAGTCCCAGGGTGTACTCAACAAAGTTTCATACGGAGAGTCTCCGTCCCGATGTCCAACCATTAACTCTTTTATATACCGTTTTTGTCAAAAAAGGTATCCCTTTCGTATACCTTTTATTATAAACAAATGGTACCCCTTTCACGTAGCTTGTTTAGAACTTTGCATCCCTTTTAACTACTGTTAATGCACTGTCTTTAACATTCAATTAAATCACAAGAACCAGAACGTTTTCTCGACATATTTTACAGTCTTAAAATGCGTGTTAGCTTTTTTGGGACTTTTTACAGACCGAAATGACAGATTTTCCTACCCTTTCATATCCTACTCCAACTAGTGAAAAAAGGTGCCCCTTTCTGGGGTAGCCTCCCCTTAAAGGCCATCATAGGGAGTACCCCCCCGGGGATTCAGCTCGCACTTTCAGTCTCGGTTTTATTTGCTAGTCATCCCAGCTTTACTTTACGTTAAGAAAATAATCATAACCTGAGTGTTTGTTAAGAAGATGACATAATAATACGTTCATATTCATATAAGCTTCGAGGTTTCATTTGCACGGCCTGTTAAAGAAGTGTTTAAAACCCAGTTAAGTTTGTAGTAAATATAAAAAATAAATAGACTTTTTCTTTCACTAAAAGGTCTTGCGAACCTAATTAAAAAAGTTGTAAATTAATTAAGGCATACTCTACAGACTCAAGTGAGGATAAAGCTCTCTTGACAGACCATAAACTTACTTGATCTAAGTGCCTAGAACCATCTGTGATTGAACCAGTAATAACGTCAAACCTGCATTTTCATGATAGTGCCATGCAGGCATCGACGAGTCGTCAAAGCGCCTATAGGACACAAAACATTAACTTACGGCAGGTCCTTCATGAAAGAATACAGTTTTATATTACTACTAGATAGCTACTATATTTGTTCTTTACAAGCCCTTAACGTATTTAAATCTTGTAACTTCTGTAGGTTTCGTCTTGCAAAAGTGATATACAGTAAACACCCGCATATATAAGAACATGTGATTTCGGGTTTCAGGCTGATCAAGTTCTTATTTATCTGGTGCTTAGTGAGAAATCAGTCTGAAGATGTTCTTAATATGTCCTTAAACTTTGTTTCATAATTATAAAATTATAATAAATTCAGATAGTCTATTACATTTATTTGACGTTTATATCCTTCAGCTAGTTGCAGCATAACATGATCCTCTAAAACATAAAAAGACACCCGGGCAACTGTTGTAGTTCTGTAATTTTCTAGTAGCAACCATTATAGTTACATTGCTTTCTTGTTCCAACAGCCTCCCCCTCATTATATAAGAACACGTTTTATTTGCCAGGCTGAACTGGTGCTTATATATATGGTGCTTTATGGGCCAAATTTCAGCCTGATGTTCTTAATCCATTTGTTCTTATATGCGGGTGTTTACTGTAGATGACAAGCAGTCTGGTATGTTTTAAACACGCTTGATTGTTTTTAAACATGCCTGAGTTAAAACCCAGGTTACGTTGCCAGTTACCCTACTAAAAAATCACATATATAAGTCTTGTGTAGATATAACTGTAGCTCGATCAAAAATGTGTAATAAAACTTTGTTGTTGGGGCGATGGTCAAAAGTTATTTGTTTAAATCGAATAAGAACGATGGCTTAATTTTAAATCCTGTTCGTCTGTGGACAGGCTATGGTTTGGGCGTTTTTAAAACACGAAATGGCGAAGTGACTAAGAAATAGAAATAAGACATTTTTCTTTTACCGGATTCGGTCGGCGGAGTTGTCACGCGCATTCTCGACCCCAGAGCTCTTCTCTATTGCACGCAGGCAATGGAGGCGGCGATCGTTTTCACTGTGACGTCATCAAATTGTAAATTCAAAATAGCGAGGTTTTACTAATTCTTATTTACGCTAGGTTGAAGACAAACAAAGAGTAAATCTTTGTACAAGTTTCCATTTCCGTTGCATGTTTGCATGTTGCATGAACTTCCGAGTTTTCACAGTGCGTGACACCAAAATAGGAATGCTGTCTCGTTGAGAAAAAGTCTCTCCTCTTGATTTTCAGCAGTATAACCACTTCAAGTATTAGAGGATATGTGTATGCGTACGTATGCTAGTTCTCGAGTGAAAAGAAATAGCTTTTATAGAAAAAGTGATCTCCGGTTTTTTTTGTTGATTTCCGGCGGCCATATTGGTGCACCAAAACGGTGAACCAATATGGCGTCTTCATACAAAGCTCCGACAAAGGTGCGTGAAACGTTTCGGCCAATAACTCAGAAACTGTGGGCCACAAAGACCTTAGACTTATATATTAGTCTTTTTTTATATAACACTTCATTTTCGTGGCTGAAGGGAAACAAACGGGAAGAGACATTTCGTGAGCATTACACAGCCAACCTAACCGCGGGCTCGGTTAGAAGATGTCAAATTAAAAATGGCGGGTGCTGCGGTCAAAAGAAAACCCGATTCAAACGTTCCTCCAGAGGAAAGTGACCTGCTGAAAATAACTCCATTGTAAGTGCTCATACTCTTGTATCATTCAAACATAATAGTGTAGTAGTTTGATCGCAGTAGCTTTCGTACAACTGCTCAATTTGATCCATGCGCAAAAAACGCGTCCTTTGGTGCTTTGAGGAATGTCCACAACTTATTGAAATTGATCGCAACAAAATAGGGTAAATTAAAGAATATAACTCGGATTTAAAATTTCATTTAGACTTCTCTTGCGGATCAATCACAATTAAGTCTACTTCAAGCCCTATGCGATCTTCGTCCTGTTACTGTTTTTGATATCACGTGCATGCGTGTATTAATAATTAAGTTATGTACGATGTAAAATAATTCCCAAAACGGACACCCTTTCTCTTTGTCTTGTATAGACCACTTGCACTAAGAAGTCGCGTGACCAATGCTTCCTTTAAACAATGAGTTGGAATCTTGCTGATGCCAAAAATTGACAGAGCACATAAAAATTAGCTTACACCCGAAGTTTGAGAGGAAACCCATTTAAGGGAGATATTTTATGGCACTTTGATTTTTCAACAAAGTAGTATGATTTGTATTGGCCACCATGTTGGAGGGCATACTCTTGCCCTCCAATATGGCAGCCAAAACTACTTTTTGCTTATATCTTGTTAAACGTTTGATAGTTACGCTCAGATTTGCTGTAAACGTTACCACATCATTTTTTCAACATCCTCCTTGAAGTTCAAGTGGAAAGCTTGTGTTCAGAAAGAAGTAATTCATGATTTTAAAAATAACATTTTGGTCACGTGACCAGCGAGGAACTTACTCATTTTAAGAAAATGGTGCGGGTTTGAAAAACTAAATCACTATTATTTTGTTTAAGATATGACCCACTAATCTTTTTCGAAGGCAAATTCATATAACTTTCATTTTCGTGAAAACTATGTCACATGACTTCTTAGTGCAAATGGCCTATTGACAACATAAAGATGTCTTTTCTATGTACATGAAGTGTCAAACTGTAGCTTTACTAACCACAGCACTCCACTGGTGAAGTAAGAGAAATTGAAGAACATGCCGGGAATTCCAAGTATTTTCAAAAAGTTAGAAAAGACATGTTTGTGTCATCAGAGCAGATTCTAAAGCTGATTCTAATAATACAATATTTAAGTGTCTTGGAACAGTTGCCCTATTGGTTCTTTTTAGGGGTTCTGGGCAAGAGGTTGGCCGATCATGTCATATCTTGGAGTTCAAAGGAAAGAAAGTCATGGTATGTACGTGTATAACATAAGGACAAAAATCTGTAGGTCCCGATTCACAGCACGTTCACTTATGTGGTTCTTGTAGGATGTAAAAGAACTCACACAACTGTTAGAAAAGAGTAGAGGATGCAGACCCCAGTGGTGTAGCCTGAATTTCAAATGATTACTTCAATTTGTTTTCTCCGCTCAGCAACGTCTGAATAGACAAACCGTTCATGCCATCCTGTGACATCACAACCAGAAAACCGGGTAGTGATTTTGATCGGTCGATTGTTCAAACATTTGCATAATTATGTATAATTATGAGAAATTTTAGGGGGATTCAGCAGATTGCATGCCTGACATGCTTGTGTGGAGTTCAAAAATTGCCACAATCTTGATCATAAACAGCAAAATATTGTCATTTAGAGCTGCTTGTGGTTTCGGCAGTGAATTTGTTAATGCAAAGGTTTCTGCATTTTAGTTATAATTCAACTTCCTTGTCATCCATCAAGTTTCTTCTTAAAGCAATTTGTTGTGTTTTTTAAGTGTTCCATGTGTGTATTTAAGCTTATTTCATTGTGTGATTGCGATTGAGTTTGATTATTGAATTACAACAAATTTGTTCAGAGTACCGCATGCAGTTGGCATATGATAAAATATGGAATGGACTGGAGTGGTAAAACATGGACTGGAGTGATAAAACATGGAGTGATAAACATGGAGTAATAAAACATAGAATGATAAAACATGGAGTGATAAAACATGGAATGATAAAACGTGGAGCCGTAATAAAACATGGAGTGATAAAATAAAATACAGTCAACTTTCTCTTTAATAATTAATAATTAATTAATAATGGACACCTCTTGTTCGTCCCTGCATTTTTAGTCATATTACTGTAAATAATAATAGACAAACACCAGACACATGTCTTATCATATACCCCATTTTCCATGCACTCAGTCGTAATTTTAAAAATGAAATACATTTGACTTACTAAAATTAACGAAGGAATATATAGACTGTTGTAAAAAATTTATCATTTTCCAGAATTTTTATCTCTTGGGTACAAGGTAAAAAGTCAACTAGCTAGTAAAAGCCTCTCTAAGAAGCAGTGATTTTATGTTATCAGCTAATGTGTTCCAGAGCCTGGGGCAGCAACTTGAAAAGATCTGTTTTCATAAAACTTGAGATTCGACTCTGGTATTAAAAGCAGATTTTTTGAAGAAGATCTTTAATAATTTCCTAGTATTTTAGGGCTGAAGGAGATCAACTTTATATTTGGAACCATGTCATTCAGTAATTTGTACATAGGAAGTAGTATTTTTGAACATAGTTCATTGCCAATGTAGTCTACAAAGAACTGATCGGTTCTATCTTCTGAACTTCAACTTCTGGTCACGAGTCAAGCTGAGCAGTTTTGTACATATTGTAGCCTATCAAGAAACAAATGTGATAAGCCACGTAGAGGAGCATTACAAAATCCAACTAAGATGAGAAGAATGCATGTAAAAATTGCATGCTCAAGATGCATGCTCAAGTTTTTTTCAGAATTTTTTGTAAACATGCATATCGCAAGTGAAACAATTTTCATGATTCTTCAGTCTGATTTATGTAGTCTGTTGAAGGTTTCATTTTATGGCTTTACAGCTCACAGGTTTTGAGTACACCTTGTGCTATGACAGTCCCACATGGTAAACTTATCAGATTTATAATATAGTTGAACCTCTTTAATACAGACACCGAAGGGACAGAGCAAAATGTCCGCGTGTTCTAAAAGAGAGGTGTCCATATTATGGAGGTCACCACGATGAAGTCACTTTTAAGACTCCACTGACAGTTTTAAGTGTTCAGTAACTAAAAACAAAATGGGACATTTATGCCTTTATTATGGAATTGTTATTGTAAGTGGTCACAAAAAATTTCACATAGGTTTTACTGAATGGGCTACAGCTACAGTAATTTCTTGCGAACACTTTTCCTCTTCTTCTCATTGGTAACATGTTACATGGTATTTTACGTTAATTTTTCAAACTAATAATAATTGAATAAGCGTTGATGTTTGCATAATCACAAACTCTTTCACAACTATCATCGCCTGATCGTTGAATCCTTTGAAAGCAAAAGCATAACTTCTTGTAGAATATCTGGACACTTATCGGATGTTGTAAAGGAAATCATGGATTCACCACTTGTGCGGTCAAAAATATAAACACAGTTGTATTCATACTGAAATGCACTAGACATGAATTGCCATTTCTATGTTGTGGAGCCCACTTTAGAAAGCAAATGTGTGTATTGTCAAGACTACAATGTACGATTATGCAGTTCAAAATGGCACCAAAAAGATGTATCAAGCGTCACCGTCCTCACAGACCTTGAAAAATAAATCAAACAGGACGAAGCAACAGGAAGAGAGAATATGCCGCCTGGACACAGTTTGATTGTTCAAATGAAAAGAGGTGAACAGAATCTTGGAACTGAGTATATTTTTATCCACGGCTCTGTGTTGTCCGTCTTATAGAGGTGTCCGATATGAGAGACTTGACTGTATATAATTTATCACTCCATGTTTTATCACTCCATGTTTTATTACTCCATGTTTATCACTTCATGTTTTATCACTCCAGTCGGTGTTATACCACTCCAGCCCATTCCATGTTTTATCATATGTCCATGCAGTTGACAGTTTAAACATTAAACGTGAATTACAATCAAAAAGAGTATTAAAAGCAATTCTGTATCATGTAGACATTTCCAGACAGTAATTCTTTGTTTGCCAGTTGAAAATCGTGTTTTACTTTTTGCGTGAATTAAAGCAAAGGAGTAGTGACATCACTGGACAGCATTAACAGCCGGTCTATTCAGATGTCAATGAGGAAGTAAAAACTACTCGAAGTAATCATCTAAAATTCAGGCTACCCAGTGGTGTAGCCACCTTTCTTTCATGTAGCAATGGCTTGGAAGTCATGGAAGTAACTGTAAGTGAGAAAGAATGGGATTTGCGATCGAGACATGCAAAGGGAGAGGGAGCACCTAAACATGAGGCCCATGAAAATTGTCACCTGCCAACTCTCAGGCAAATGCTCCCTCTTGCCTCGTGCGACTCTTGCGTCCCTCATTCCTTCTTGTGCCCATCACATCACTTCCAAGCACCTGCTATGCAGGCCACGTGTATAGAGTCTCACATTGCCTCAAGTTAATGCATTATGAAGCATGCATGCAAGGGTTACAGACTGGAGTGAAGAATTAATATTACAGCAGCTGGCATTTTTTTTGGAAAATTTATGGCTCTATATTTGTTTTGGTTGGAAAATTCGTCAAGAATAATCATGTACATGTAGGGATTAGATACCGACATTCATCCACCAAGTGTAATGTTTGTTCTCCATTTTATTATGAGAAAAGTGGAAAACGGCAAATTATACTTAAACCTACAGGTAGTAAGTAATGCCATGTACACTATTGTCTTTAGATTCAATAACATGTTACCCTCTTTATTCCAGTTGGACTGCGGCATTCATCCTGGAATGTCTGGAATGGAATCACTTCCTTTTCTTGATGAAATTGACACAGCAGAAATTGACCTCCTTCTTGTCAGTCAGTAAGTGTAATGCAGTGCAGTCACTAAGGGCTGGGGACTGTGAAGATATCCACTGTTATCATGAGCATGACCCCTGACTTTATAGAAGCAAAAGAAAAAAAGAACCAAAAGAACTTCCCAACCAATGTAATTATACCCAGCAACGTAAAATCGTAGTGATTGCAGCCCTAGTGATGGCCATCAGTGATCATCATTCTGTGATAATAGCAACTCCCTAAAATGGACACCAAGAGTTTGTCCCTGACATTTGATTCTTCAGTCATTTTCTCTGGCTTTCTCGGTAAGACATACTGCTTTCAAAGATGGGAATAGTACACTGGACATTGTATGCATAGTATCAGTCCTTATGGTGTCCATCTAAGAGATTTGTTGGAACCAAAATTGAACCAACAGAACCGAAATTAACTAGTCAGAACTGAAATTGAACAAACAGAACAGAAATTACAAAGTCAGAACAGAAATTGAACCAACAGAACAGAAATCAAGAAGTTCAATTAGAACAGGAATTAACAAGTCAGAACTGAAATTGAACCAACAGGACAGAAATTAACATAACCGTCAATTTCTGTTCTAAATGGGACTGAGGCCATGACGACAGCGCTGACCAAGTGAAGCCTGGGGAAAACCACTTTAAAATATTTTAAGTTATGATTATTAACCTCCGCCGTATATATAATTCCAACACAGCCGCCAATGAGAGTGTGTTTCTTAGAAGTATTAGAGATGTTGTTGGAGTAGTATTGAGAGATCTGCAGGCTTTGGTCTCCGAAAGAGCACATTGTTGCCTTGACTGGCTGCTAGATAATGTCAATAGGTACACAGATTCACTGAGTACAACTAACTGTTGACCTAGAACAAGTCCACTTTCTCCTTCGAGAAGCTCGCGAATGTCTGTGTGCGCATAGCAGGTCTTTTGCGGAGCAGTACTTTGGTAAGACGACACAACAAGCAGACAAGATGACATGACAAGTAGACAAGACAACAGAACAACATGGCTCCTGTCAACCCTCCACGTTTTCAAATAATTTATTGAGAAGGGTTGGGGAAGAGATGATAGATGACGTCATAATGCACGGCACATCACGTCATTATTTTGTGAAAAAAAACACGCGTAAGAGATGTTGTTGGAATTGTAACATTTGGGGCACTTTCCACTTACTAGTCAAAATTTCTGGAATTTCCGGTTCGGCAGTAAATGGAACACGTTTTGTCGGTTCACCCCACTGGAAAATTCCCAGAAAAAGTGGAAAGTCTAAAAAGGTGGGCCCGTTTTCCCGGGTGGAATTTCCAAACGGAATTTTGTGCTCTATTTACACGTTTCTCATAGTCTGTACCAGTTCCAGGTCCATGGTCAGCGCCACAGCGTACCAGGGTTTTCGACCAAATGGAGCAACTTTTTTCCAATTGGAAATTCTTCTTTTTTTCCCACCGAAATTTCCAGGTTTTTTTCCTTAATGGAAAGTGCCCTTGACCTAATAGGTTTACTTCCCACTAATCACATTATTGCCTTAATTACAATGGCATACTGGAGTTTGTGGGGAAACGTTTGATGTTAACAGTAAAATAGCTCAAACAATGCAAAATATTTGAAATTTTGTTGTCAGAAAGTCAAATCTACAGGAAACAGAAAACTTTCAATTGGCGATTATCCAGGAGATTTCAGACTCTAATCTAGAGACCGGGAGAAACACTTCAAAATCTGAAGTCTCCCGTATTACCTGGGAGAGTTGACAGCCCCGAAACAAGTAGACAAGACCAAAACAAATCGCCAAGATGACACAATAAGTAGACAAGACGACATAGAAAATAGACATTGAATTATTTTGGACCCGGATACCACTTCATAATTCGATAGCTAGGTCTGCCACGATGACCACCAAAGACTTGCTGGGCAATTTGTGCCACAAAAGACCTGCTATGGGCACACAGACATTCGCGAGCTTCTCGGAGGAGAAAGTGGACTTGATCTAGGTCAACAGTCGTACTCAGCGAATCTGCGTACCTATTGACAATATCTAGCAGCCAGTCAAGGCGATAAAATGCTCTTTCAGAGACCGAAGCCTGCAGGTCTCTCAATACTTATCCAACAACATATCTAATACAGCTGTACTTCTAAGAAACACACTCTCATTGTTGGCCATGTAGGAATTATATATACGGCGGAGGTTAATAATCATAAATTAAAATATTTTAAAGTGGTTTTCCCCAGGCTTCACTCGGTCAGCGCTGTCGTCACGGCCCCAGTCCAATTTAGAACAGAAGTTGACAGTTATGTTAATTTCTGTCCTGTTGGTTCAATTTTGGTTCTGACTTATTAATTTCTGTTCTAATTGAACTTCTTGATTTCTGTTCTGTTGGTTCAATTTCTGCTCCGTTAGTTCAATTTCGGTTCTGACTTGTCAATTTCTGTTCTGTTGGTCTACTTTCGGTTCTGATGATGGAACAGGAAATTGCAGGTTCATCATAATGGAATTTGAAACAGAATATTGGCGGAGATCATCTCTCATACCTTTGTACACTTGGTGTTAATAAATATCATGTTACCTACAACTGTACTAGCTCAAGTTGAAGAGTAGGCAGCGTGGCCAAGCGGTTAAAGCGCCGGACCAGAGGCCTTGATTTCAAGTCCCATCAAGTCCGCCAGCTGGATTTGCTCAAAGTTTAAATCCTCTGCTGCACTAATTTGTATATGAAAATAGCCAACTGGTTCACCTCTTACCAGTTGGGATTCTTAACCATGTTACAGTATGTTTAATTTGAATATTATTAGTTCATTATCCCCACCATAAGGAAGAAAAGCCCTGTAAGAGGAAAGCATTACCAGTACACTGTAGTTGCATTTTGAGAGCAAGATGCCTTAATGTCATTCACGTGCAGGTACCACATAGCTTGAAGTGTTACTTGCAACATTAAACAGCACACCGCTACACATGACTTTCTGCAATCTGTTAGATAATAATTAATAGTGTTAATAATAATAATAATAATAATAATAATAATAGTTGTTGTTATTTTTTAGTTTCCACTTAGATCATTGTGGTGCTCTTCCTTGGTTTCTAGAAAAGGTACAATCACATGTACTGTAATTGATTTATCAAAATGAAAAAATTATTAGACAAGTTTTCTTCCATTTTAGTTATTATCTAACCTATCACCTGGCCATGTACAGCTATAAAATTCTTTTCAATCCCTTGTCCAAATTACAACATGTACAATGTACTATTCTTTCATTGTAGAATGTTTTTTCTGTATGAAGTCAACTGAAGTTGAAAAAAATTTTTTTTGCAGTGTTCACACAGAGTTGAAAGGTTCTTGAATGTTTAATAAATCCCTACAAATTCCTTGAATTTCCCAAACTTGGATATGGCAGAAATTAAAATTAAAACTTAATGAAGATGAAAAGATAAAGGGGCTATGCCACACTATTTGCTTAATCTTTTGATAAGCTAAACCTTGTTTTCAGGTCAGTTAAATTGCAATAAATAATTCATTCCTACAGTTATGAACTTAAAACAGTCAGTTCATTTAAATAATGATTTATTCATTTATTTGTTTAGACTACTTTTAAAGGAAGAGTATTTATGACACATGCAACCAAAGCAATATACAGGTATTTGAACATGATTATTGTAGTACTTTAAAATTATGGGCAAAATAAAAAACACAACTAATATTGTTTTTCTCTCTTTTACAGCACTTTTCAGCTTTTTTGTTTTCATTTCTGTTTTCTACTGTTTTTCTTTTCAATAATAATTAACTTATTGCCATTAATTTGGTAAAGAAATTACAGTTATTATATTATTTTGCTTAATAATTAATGGGAAAAATTTTGTCCCATTAAATCCTGGTGACAATTATTAATAATATTTTGTGTTAAACAATAAATTATATCTGTGAGAATTTGTATGTTAAAAAGTGTATGATTGACCCGCAAATAAATTATGTAAATGCATATATAATTAATAATGTCATACAAACAAATGTATATTTCATTGATTCCTTATTCAGATGGTTGCTCTCAGATTATGTCAAAGTTAGGTAAGCAATTTAATATTGTTGTGGTGCATAATAATAAACATGTTGTCCATGGGTTAAGTTTGACCTGCACCATAGATGGTTTACATCCTAAAAATCCTATTCTTTTTAAGCAAGTCTTGTCCTGTTGTCATTTGGTTTGTTTTTTCCCCTGTTATACTAATATTTCATTATTTGTATTTGTTGCTGTTCAATACCGTTGTCATCCACAGTGTATGTTATAGTAACTAATAATGGTGTGTACTTTTTGTTTGATGCGTAAATCAGTAACATTGCAACAGAAGATATGCTTTACACTGAATCAGACCTGGAAAAAAGTATGGACAAGATTGAAACAATTCATTTTCACCAGGTATAGAAACTGTTAACCCTTCCTCATGACAGTGGCCAAAAAGAAAATTTACCAAAAATAATTCAAATCCATTTATACAAAATACTAGAAAACTAATATTACGATGCTAAGTAAAGATCTGTCGTTTGTGGAAAATAGGTTCATTTGATTGACATCACCAAAGGATTACAGCACAAATTAATTTATTCATTATAGTGACATATCATTCCACCTTATAAAAATAATTAAAAGTTGACAAACTACATGTGCCATCTGTTAAAAAACGCTTTTTTTGTATGCTTTTCTAAACCTACAATGTTCTCTGTAGTCAATGTATCAGTACGTACATGAGAACATTTTCAATATAAAAAAATTGAATTGTTGCAAAATATGATTCATTTCATATGTTTCAACTCACATTATTAAGTTAAAACCCTAGCGAAAAGCTAACCCTTATTAATACAGCTTTAGATTGATTTTTGGTTGCCTTGAAAACAGATTTTACCTACATGTACGACAAATATAAAGATTATAGTTCATCCCATTCCTTTTCCCTTTAACACCTTCTTACGTTAAATAAAGGCTTGAAACCATCTAAAATTATAAATTGCCCATTTTTTTTACAGGAGAAAGAAGTCAATGGAATAAAATTCTGGTGTTACCATGCAGGTCATGTTCTTGGTGCATCCATGTTCATGATTGAAATTGCCGGAGTAAAGGTACATACTCTGCATTGGTTGTTGAAATATCAGTCAGTAACAACAGCAGTCCTATTCAGGGCTGAACTCACTAGTAAAACCATTATTAACCCAACTTACATTATTTTCTTGTTGAGCAGATTCTTTACACTGGTGATTTTTCACGTCAGGAAGATCGTCATCTTATGGCTGCTGAGATTCCCAGTATTTCACCAGATGTCCTTATCATTGTGAGTTGGAAAAAAAAAACAGTCATTATTATGACCATGATACCAGAGCTTGTTATGATTCACTTTTTTGCTGGACCTCTATAAACAGTCAGTCAATTTTTCTTGATAAATACATGTACCCTGTTAGAAAATTAATTATTTTATTTGAACGCATGCACATTTGAATGTCTAACTGGACTGGCCTGTGTTACCATCAACACCTGTAACGATATCTAATTATTTTCATCATTTTGTTATTTTACGTTTACATGTATATAGCTGAAACTGTTAACTGTTACACTGTTGGATTTATGAACTAAAACTGTGCATGCAATACAATAAAATGATTTAAAGTGAGCGTAGTCATCTTTCAGAAGTCAAGTCATCATTGAACACCAGCTTGTCTATATTGATCTGCTCAAAACATGGTTAAATTTGCAATTCTGGGGAAAAATTCTCAACTCTCATGTAAGGGGGTCCTTGAAAAAAGCTGAAAGGGACTTCTCAGCTGGTAATCTGCATTGCTCAATTTTCCTTCCAAATTGCTAACAATTTGACTTGCAGTACATGATTATAAAGTCTCTTAGAACTTATTGGATATTGTATATGTTGTAGTTATTTTTTTATCTCAGGTAATTTTTGTTTTTCTTTTGTTTTTTGGTATGGTAAAGTATGCCAATGAAGTTGAAACAAAAGAAAAATAAAAATTATATACCTGAGATAAAAAAATTAACTACAACATATATGTTTGGAGGGAGAAATACTTATTGACTTTTTAATTGAAATACTTAGGAGTCAACATATGGTACTCATATTCATGAAAAACGTGAAGATAGAGAAAACAGGTTTACAAGTAAGCTCATGTTAAACTGAGTTTCACCATACAAACTTTTCATATACATGTCTATAGATATTTGTGTTAAGCTCGAGCAAGTGGAGAGCCAGCAATATACAGTTCTAATTAGTTCTGGTGAAACATAAAATGATGTTGAGCACAGTGGTATTAATATAACACGTAAACTTCATAATGAAATTTGTTGTCTAGTGAAAGCAAAGAAAGCAAAAAGAGGAAAGAGAAAAAATTATGGTTGCAAAATTTTATTTTTTTACTTGCTTTTTCCCATCTATATAGCACGGTAAGTTAGAACATGTCATTTTTTTGTAACACATTCCCAAGACAAAACAATAGAATGTCCCAGAAGGTAATGCAATTTTTGTTCTCCAGTAGCAAGCAAGGTACCTTGCACATTATTATCAAAGGTTTGGACATTTTTTGTGACAGTTGCCAAAAAAGAGTTTCAGTTACTATTTATTGGTACCTTTTTGCACAACTCTGAGATTCAAGACAGTTTCAGTGTATGTCACTTATCACTTAACTTTCGAGAAACAATTTATTTGGTCTTTGTTTAGGTACTGTTCATGACATTGTTAATCGTGGTGGACGATGTCTAATTCCTGTATTTGCTCTTGGTCGAGCCCAAGAACTACTTCTTATTCTGGGTAGGCAAAATACATTATTTAACTTACCTATTAAATTATTCAATAATTTTTTTAAGTCTTGTAAACCTAGTTTTCACATACAGACTTGCTTACACTTAGCTTACTTGCTAACCAGAAATGTAAGTAATACTGTTGCAATAAATAATATTTTAATATTAAAAATTTATTAATTAGATATTTTAATATTACATTTACTTGTAGTAAAGCTACATTTATACTCCACATTTTTCTCTGAGTTAAAATCTCAAATAATTTATGATAATTAAAATTAATAGTATACTACTTATACTTATACTTACTTGAACGTTTTTTTACAGCAGAACCTTGCAATGACCATACTCAACACTCTATCCATTTGTATAAGAACTAATTGAACCATCTTTTTCTGTTCAGATGAGTACTGGCAGAATCACCCAGAGCTACATGATGTTCCAATCTACTATGCTTCACAACTGGCAAAGAAATGCATGTCAGGTACTGCATTGTACAAGTTTAATCAACAGAAAATGTTTCATGCTGTAACTGTTGCTTCTAAAATTGAGGGATAGAAGTATTTGGCTTCAGTAAGATTGTGTATCTGCATTTTGTTCTTTCCTCTTGCAATGGGCCATTGTACAATAGACCATATTTTTAGAGTTGTGGGCTTACTGAGAGGTGGGGGGGGATGTTGTACTGCCGTATTTGGGTGGGCTTTGTTTGACCTTTCCTTTTCTAATGGAAATTTTGCTTAAATAATACTAGTTAGTATAGGAGCCTCATGATTTAAAGTACACAATAAAGCAGCCGGAAGGGTTGTATCAAAAATAATGTATCAAAACATGGTAAACTCCAGCCGTGCTTTCAACTGTAATAATATTGTAAAATGGGCTATTGTGTGCTTAGTATCTCAGCCTTTGAATGAATGTGAGGCCGAGGTAGACCTTGTTTTGATACAAACCTCTTTCCCGGCCTTTTCTAATGGAAATTATGCTTTAAAATCCTAGTCAAAATCCCTGGTAAAAACAATATGATTTTCATAATGCAGGAGGGTTGTACCAAAACAAAGTCAACTTCAACCTTGTTTCCACCTGTAACGGTAAAATGGGCCATTTACCTAGTCTGAGTTTTCCAAGCAACAAGTGTAAATAATACAAGTTCAGTTTTTTCCTACAATTAACAAATAGCACTTGTAATCCTGAATTCTCCAGAAGTTTGCATAAACGTGACTTGTGAGGTACCTTAAACAAGGCATAACTTTAACTTTTTATTACTTTCATTTTTCAGTGTTCCAGACTTATGTGAATGCCATGAATGATAAAATAAAGAAACAGGTATTGTGCAGACTGCAATAACAAAAATAATGTAATAAATCAATCTAGGATTTGTCTTTGTTATCACCGGTCCGGCATTACATTTACTTGGGGACCCACATTCATAAATTTTCTGAAGCGACAGGAAGTGTCAGTTCGAAGGGGATGCTTATTTGAAGGGTGACGCTAATTTGGTTTTTCAGATTTCTTAATTTGATTGCCTTTTCTTTTGCGTTCCTCATTATTTGTGAATATCCAGCATTTAACTCGGAATGTCTGCTAGTTTGGAGCCATTGAACACTTATAGTGCTCTTCTGTTCCCGTATTCGTTACATGGTGTGTCCCCTTCAATTATTCTGTGTTTTAGCACTGTCTCTCCTGCATTACCTAAATAGTGTGAATAAAGATGTTGATGTTGTTGTTTTTGTCGTTGTTGACACTACAGTGATTTTGTTACCTCCGTGTCCTGCGTCCCTGATGCATAAAAGTCTCCAAAGACGCAAAATAATTCATGACATGCATCCCGTAGGATGCAAAGATCGATCGATCGATCTGAAGATGTTTTTGTAGAAGCTTGTAGAATATTCCGTTCGTGTGATTTCTGTGGCTGTTATTGTGGCTGTTGTGTAACAATGCATACAAATTTAGTCTTTTTTGTGTTATAGAATAGAATTGAACTGGAATAAAGATTTCAGTATGTAAACTGTAATACAGAGTTGTGGAGTCTGTCTTAAGAGTCTGTCTGGTTACATCAAGGCCCAAGCATTTTCAATTTAAGAATAACTGTTTCTTGAATTGGGACTCATTGCTGGTTGTGGAATAGGACTCTTAATTTAGGCCCTAGGACTCGCCATAACTATTTGTAACAAAATCACTACATTACTCCCATCAGCACACAAATTAATTATAACATTAAAAATCAGTTTGTTTCAACAGTTCAACATGTAAATGAAAATCGGCATACTCAGTGATCACTACCCACAAATAGGCTAATCTAATCCGGTAGAGCAAATCAAATACGTACTAGCAAACTGAAGTTAAAAAAAAAAAACGAGGGCTGACTCATAATGTGCTTTTAGCATGCATTCTTTTATGATTACAACAAGAGAAGTTCAGAAATCCTGCTATATACATCTTCTTCTATTTCTGTATCGCTGTTTTCTGTCACTGTGGTTAAAAAGGGCCACATTATAGTGTAGCATACATTGGGTACCGCAGTTCGTTCTTTCTTGGGGGATGGGGGGAGGTTAATTAGCAGGGGTTGCTTCTTAGTTTTTGAATTTAAGGGGGGCGCGAATTCGATGGACGGTGCTTATATTAAAAATGAGCGCTGATTCTTGTGCGTTTTTTTAATTAATTATCCCTGGCAGTAAATACTACAGATGTTATTGTGAAAACATTGTTCGTTTTTTTTTTGTTGTTTCCAGATTGCCATTTCCAATCCGTTTGTTTTCAAACACATATCAAATCTAAAGGTAGGCAATTTTACTTTCTTGCTGGTCATGTGCTTCCCGTTCATTTCATAATCGTCGTGTGTTGCTGATCTCAGCTGAAATTAAAACTAAGTATTCTAAGACGTCTTTTCCCATACTTGAAGCTCCAAGAAAAAGATATGAAACAACTCTAAAAACAAGCATGATTAGTTTTTGGTCAGTTTTTAACGACACGCAAGTGTAACTTGAAAACGTTGGTCCAGTTTGTTCAAGTTGCAATTCGTTCCCGTCCTGGTCATCAAAAGCCAAAGATTTGCAACACCTATAGTTGAGGTCTAGTAGTACATGAATTTCAAATAAAGCTGAATCATTATTTCAGGTTTTTCTGTTATTCCAATGTGTTTTTGGGATTTTGAAGTAATAAGGTTTGCGTAAAAAATGCCTCTTTTTAGAGGTCGGTCTTCTTCATAGAGTAGAAGGATGTTATTGTGTCCACTTTCCGCCAAACATGTGCTGGCAGAATATTCCAAAGTTTTTGGCGCAGCAGTGGAGAATGCCCTATCTCCATAGGCACGGCTGTCAATAAGAGGCGGGGGCCGGTGATTTTCCCTGGCTACTACGAACGTGGCCCCCGTCTACTTTCATAGGAAAATACAAGAAAAATAGAACCAAAAAGTATCCCTATAGCTGTTTTATTCCCCGTGTACTTAGTACTATTATATGAAAGACCTTTACTCTTTATCAAGAGGCTGTTTTTGTTCTTTAGGGAATTGACCAGTTTGATGATATTGGTCCGTCTGTGGTGATGGCAAGTCCAGGAATGATGCAGGTCTCATTTTGAATTTGTTTCTGGCTATAGATAGACCCTCATACTTGTACTGACTACAGTGCTCATCCCTCTTTGTTCTTTTTTCTTTTGTTTCTTTTTTGTTTGGGAGCATAAGTATATAACCATCTTTTGTGGGCCTGTTCGTGTAAGATGAGTAGTTTCTTAAGATATCCAAGTTAGCTTGAAATCGCGTAACCTGCTAAAACAGCTCTTCTTTGGAGGAGCGAAGAGAGAAGGCTGTTTTTCGCAGGGTAGAAATCGCGAAGGGTGTGTTGGTTTTTGCAGCAGGTTATGGCAACAAGATAGTTTATTGTATGTCGTAGTGGAAGACAAAAGCAAACTGTAAAAAGGAAGCTATGATATCTCCTTTAACAGACTGATTTTTTGGGTTTCACCTGTATCAAAATAAAACTACTTATATTTTCAAAGGGTGTTGCTGTAATGTAAAAATTGGACCGACATATTTCTTCTGAATCGCTCAGTTGGCCTTCATTATGATTAAGTCATTTCATCTTTCCAGAAAAAGTGAAGATCATACTGTCGGAGGGCAATACCTTCAATTAGTAATATTAGGGAGGCTCTAGAGATAAACTCCGGACGCTTATCACTTAACAGGCACGAGGTCCTGGAGCGGCCAAACATCTACGATGTCGTGATCTCCTTTTACTTGACCGTTCTACGCTCATGTGACCGCTAATTAACCATTCAAAATCGACCAGGCTGTTGAAAAGGCGGTCAACACTTATTTCCATCCGCCAAACTGACGTTGACAGATTAATGATTCGTACACAAAGTAAGGGTTAGGGTTAGGGTTAGGGTTAGGGTTGTTGCTATATATATTCAAATCAAACCACTCATTGTCAGCCAATCCTCGGTGGAATAGGGGTTTAAAGTGATGCACTGCAGAGCCGATGCTCCGAGATCGAATCCTACTCGGGCCATCCTGAATTTTTTTTCCTTAAAAATTGAAGAGATGTAGACGTTTATGAACAGAAATTTCAAGAGACAGAGAAATATCATGTAAGAAAAGTGAAATGTCTTGTGAGAGGATGCAATTGAGCCGCAACATCTACTCAATGTTTCTTCCATTTTCACTATCACAGAGCGGTTTGTCACGCGAGCTGTTTGAGCAGTGGTGTACTGATCGTAGAAATGGTGTAATCATCGCCGGCTATTGTGTGGAGGGAACACTGGCGAAGGTAAAGGCATGTTAACTATACCTCAAATCAATTAGTGTCCCTTTCTTACGTGAATTTTAAGATTGTATAGCTTGAGGTTCAAAATAATCAATACAATCATGAATCATTGCATTGACCTTTTGCCTCATAGTCATTCCTTAGTTTTTAGACATTTTTTGGACGAAATGTGAGCATTACACTGTGGTTTAACAATCTCTGTACGTGTGTGTGTGTGTGTGCTGGTTTTGCTGTTGTTTTTGTTGTTGTTGTTGTTGTTTTCTTTTACTCTCTCTTTGTCTTTATCTTTTGTTTATACCATGTTATTTTTGTTTTTCGTAGCTCCTTGATTGACTCGGAGAAATGAAGGGAAAGATCGCTTTTGAAAGTCAAAGGACTCTCTTATCCATTTTCCTCTTTTCCTTTCTCCCCCAAAGTCATGCAAAACTATGATGGAATACTAACGATAAAAATTTGCGCTTGTACCCTTCAAATCCAGTTTCGTGTCAGGCATATATGTTTGGACTATTTTAACGGAAATATTCACAGTAATGACGTTGTTGACGGTACTTGTTTGTTTTTGTCCCAAGACCCTGATGTCTGAACCTGAAGAGATTGCTACCATGACGGGACAGAAGATTCCTCGGAAGTGCTCCATCGGTAAATTATATCGCTTTGAAATAACATATCAGACAGGAGTGAGAGTGTTTCAGTAAGATATCCAACAGCCAAGGAGTGAGTTGAATGAACAAGGCGCAGCGGAATCCTCTTCAGTGGACGTGAATCAATACGTAATGACTTTTTCTTGTGAATGATTTGCTCTGACAAAATGATGCCACTCGAAAAATCAGTTTTGAATCTTTTTAAGGGGAAAATTTGCGTTCTCCCGATTGTTTGAGACACCTTCTGATCGCCAGCTGGGGCTACCTATTAAACCTCAGACGTAACTACCGACGTCTGGGGCCAGTTGAACATGACAACGATCGTCTGACGTTCACGCCAGTCAAACGTGACGGTACGTTTCATGCAACTTGTTCCTGGCGTTAAAATAACGAGTTTGAGTGAGCTGGGGCCGGTTGCTCGAAGCCTGGTTAGCGCTAACCGTTGGTTAAGAGGTATCAAAATGTATAGGTTTCCATGGTATTTAACGCTGGTTAGCACTAACCATGCTTCGAGCAACCCGGGTAGATGTGAGCTGTTAGTGCAACCTTAAGTTTTCTGTATTTTGATCCTGACCTATATAATGGCCTTTTTTACACTTCAGACGCATTATCCTTCTGGACGAACTTGGGCAAACATTTTGTAGTTCGTCTGGTTATGCGTCTAAAGTCTAAAGATGGGCATAAAATGCATTATGCATCAAGACGAAGTACCTTTCGTAGTGCGTCGTTCAAGACTTATTACCAAGGAAAGTTCGTCCAGACGCATAATGCGTCTTGTGCCCATCTTTAGACTTTAGACGCATAACCAGACGAACTACAAAATGTTTGCCCAAGTTCATTCCAAAGGACAATGAGAAAACCTAGTGGTTAATAAATTATACCCTATTGCTTTTTTTTAATTAGGGTCGACATAAAACAGATTCTGTGATTTTTTTGTGTTTATTGAGCAAACAGGGACACATAGACCAAGTACTAAGCAAAAAGGGGTGAAATGCAATCGCTGGACATTACGTGCTGGTAAAGCAGAAAGAGAGCGTTAATTACAGTGTAGAGAACTCAACTGGAGCCATCCAACTTTAATCGGCCAATAACAGGTCGTGTTCAACACTAATGAGTCTGACGTATTTAGCTTGTTAGCCAATAAAAAAGAAGAAAATTTTTTTTTCAAGTGGCCCCGGCTAGGTTCGTTGCACTGTAAGGAAATTTTAAGTCTGTCTTCTGACAAAGGGTATCTTGCATCTGTACAGTTAACTTTTTATCATCTCAGGGCTTCTGAGGCAACACACGGTCCGTTGTATCTTGTATCTTCTATTATCAGTCTGATAAAAAAAATAAAAATCGACAGTATTTGGTAAAATTTTACCGAGGCGAGTGCCTCGGTTCGCCTCATACTGGCTACGGCGGTGATAATTACTTCTTGTTTCAGCGTAGCAGAAAATGCGTGTGTACCACTGTATTCATTGATGTTTTTGTTTGCCTCCTTTTTGTAGATTACATTTCATTCTCAGCTCACACTGATTTTGAACAGACCAGTGAATTCATTCGAATTCTTAAGCCTCCTCACATTGTAAGTACCAAGGGTAATATTTAAAATACAGATTAACCCTTTAAGCCCTAAGAGCCTCTGGCTCGGATGGTCGGGGCAACTCCATCCCACGTATTGACGTTAATGAATTGATTGATTGATTGATTGAAGAGTGATCAGCATCAAATTTCTCCTTCTAATATCAATGCTCTGTAAAACAGAGTGGTCAAGAGAATTACGGACATATCACACAAGATGAATTTGCTTGATATTTTATCAACCTCTCCTCATTACCTCTACAGGAAATGAATAGGAACAACAAATGAGAATTCAAAATTTGATCTTAGGGTTTAAAGGGTTAAAGTTAACTCTCTGAATTCCCAAAAGTGGTCGCAAAAGTATTGCTCTTCAGTAATTTCTGCGCGTTAAGAGAACACAACGTGTTAATTTTTCTTTCTTTTCTTCTTGCTTTGGAGTGGCTTTATTTAATTTCTATCCATTCCTTCATAATACTAAAGGCTTATTTTTCATTGCTTTTTATTGCTTTAGGTACTTGTACACGGTGAGCAAAATGAGATGGGCCGACTCAAGGCTGCTCTTATCCGAGAGTACGAGGACAACCCGGTAAGTTCATTAATTAATAAAATCTTTATAACAGTTAATTGAATATCGGATCCGAGCGCTTTGTCTACTCTTGTTTCTAATCGCCTGATTCACATGAAATGGGCTATCTCGATTTGCTGATTATCCCAATATTACACGAAGCGAGTCAGCCCAGGGCCGCCATGGTTGCAAAGAGGGATTAAAGCAGTGCGCATGAGTAGTGTGTAGCCCGCTGTCCCGTTGTTATGTCCCGTTGCTAGGCTGTTGCAGGCGTTCAGATTGTGAGCGCGGGAGAAAAATTCACGAAGAAAAAAAAAAAAACGAGGGGGAAAGATTTTCTGGTTTTCCCGGTATACAACTTAACTCGCCCCCCGCCGCGCTCTACTATCTGAACGCCTGGAACAGGCTATCCCGTTGCTTGTTTGGTTTGTCGTGCTGGTTAGGCGAGCATAATTTCATGGGCAATTTCCAGCAGCCCGGGTAACTGGAATCCAGGTATCTCAATACTCGGATCCCTAGTACCTTGCGAAAACGGCTGTTTTCGCAGGCTCGATCCTTAGCGAACCGGGATGGCTCGGTTGTCAAGTAATCGCTAAGCTGATTTTTGTTGCGTTTAACTAACGTGGCGAGATCTTAGCAAATCAAGCCAGCTCTAGAAACTGGTCAAACCCGGTGCATGTAATCAGGCCCTCAAGCTTAAAACTACTGCGACGACAACAGACTTGAAACTAATTCTTTCCTGTTATTTTGTCTGTAGGACGCGAGTGTAGTGGTTCATAACCCCCCTAACACTCAAAGTGTGGAGCTTTACTTCAGGGGGGAGAAGATGGCAAAGGTAATATGCAAGATACGCATTGTCTCGCGAACTTCTAAAAAAAGATAACACTTTATTGCGCTAATTGAAGACATCATTTATTCATAAATATGACTGGACCTGTGTCCAGAGTTGGTTGGCGCTGATATGGTTTCCAGGCACAGTAAATATGCCTTGCTGACCAAGCATTAGGTCAAGATAGCCATCTTGACGGAACAATCTTGGTCAATAAAGGATTTATTATATGGCCAGAAAGGGAACTTTTTCTTGCGGGACCAACGCGGGAAATTCCTGGCGGGCAAGATAGGCCCATCTCGTCCGCTCGGGTAGCCAATCAGAATGCAGGATTCGCTTCACTTTGCCCGGTCATGGATTGAGCCATATAGAAACCTGTCTTAAAGTTTACTTCTTGTAGGTTTTTGTTTGAATTCTCGGTAACCGTTCCTAAACTACGCACTGCCTGCTGAAGCAGGGCTAAGTAATCGTGCTTACCCAGCAAAACCGTCTTTTGTCGTACGAGAAAGGCTGATGATTGAATGTTAATGACGAGCTACAAATTTGTTACTAGTTATCTAGTTTTGTAGCTAGGGTCAGTTCTTTTTTGCTTTTCTTGTCAGGTGATGGGAAGTTTAGCGGCGGAAAAGCCTGAACATGGAAAACCTTTGTCTGGGATTCTGATCAAGCGTGGCTTTAACTATCATTTGATTGGGCCAGATGATTTACAAAGTAAGTCGGTGAACGAGGTTGTTTATGAAAAAGTAGTACGTTTAACCACAAGTGCCGCAGAAAAAAATATCACGTAAAATGGATAAATTTTTTCTCAGAAAAAACTGACAAACAAATCCTATGACATGCTTATCATGTCGTTGTTGGTTTGTCATATTGTAAGTACCCCTTTTGTTTTCACTCCACGAACTCGATTATTTTGGTCCAGGTGTTCAGATGTCTCAACAGCGCAGAAAGGCTACGCTTTGATTAGTACTCCATCCACTCACTCAAAATAGTTGTGGTTACACTGAATCTTTCCCCTGTCGGATATTGCCTTTCACCTTGAAATAAATAAATCTTTTGTGTGTGACCGCTCCCTCTCGAGATAAATGTAACTTCAGGTATAACCATGGAAAAAGTGATCACGACAGCTACCGAATTGTTTATCCGCGTGAGTTTATTCCTTATAATAAAACGATCAATCAGTGGATTAACTAAATCGCAAAACTTCAACCTTATAGTACCACCCGATAAATGTTGCGACAACTGCCTTTTTTCAGGTCAAAGGTTTTGTTTAAAAAAATCAAAACCTGCCAGGCTTTCCATCGTTGAGACCTCAAAAACCTTAGAAAGCGACTGACTGAACATGGCGATGTCAACAATCACATTGCTAAACACCATTTACACACGAAACATCAAATCGACTGGGACTCTGCGACATGTATTACGTATTTTACAGACTACTATCAACGACTCACTTTAGAAAGCTGGTTTACTAACTTAGAACAAACGTCACTGAATTGTAGTCAACAGTTACCTGCGCCGTACAAAAGACTTATTGACGGACTTAGCAAAACTAACTACGAGAGAATGACTGAACAACCGACAAACAATAAACGACTGTTTAACTTTGACAGTAGACGGATCGAAACGCACTAATGACATTACAAGTCTTCATAGCCAAGAACATCATGGCTTAACTGACAGACGACCAATAACGTCGCGACTTAATTGACCAATCTGGTCAATAACCAGAGTTTAAAGGGAACCTCCACTTCAACAAAAAGATAACTTTAAATCACAGGAAATAACTGTTACAGTCAAGTCAATCTAAAATATTTTAAAAGAAAGCGTTTGTATCCGAAAGAAATAACCTTTAGATTCGCCTATTTTTGTTTTCAAATTTTGCGGGCGTCGCCATCTTGAATAATTGTGACGTGTAATGGTTGCCCTATTGTTATTAAACAAAAGCTCTTTGTGTCAGAACAATAGAGCTACCGTAACACGTCACCATTATTCAAGATGGCGGCGCCCGCGAAATTTGAAAGTGAAAATAAGCGATTTTAAAATTCACTTTTCCTGATATAAACACTTTTTTTAAGACAAATTTCGAACAAATTTGTTCATCAACATAATTTTATTCGATTTAAACTTATTCTGTAGTAAGAGTGGAGGTTCCCTTTAATACCATCAACTGACTTAATGCAACTCATTTTGACGCTGAAGATAACTACCGCACGGATTGTCGAAACGTCAGTCACGGTCAACAACAGTCCTATTCAGTACCACGTTCACCCGGACGATCAGATGCAACCTGCTTATGAAATGACTCCTGTGTTCAGACCTTTCACACTTCTGGCACTGTTACTAGGGACAGGGAAGAATTAGAGAGTTTACTCTTCACGTAAACTGCAAACGTCAGAGAGAATTCCTCAAAATAGAAAATGAGCAGATAAAAACGTTTCAAAACATTTCTTACGGATAAAAAAATTGCATGAAACTACTAATTTGTGTGTAGAAATAATGAACAGTAAACGACAAGTTAAGGGGAAACTTGGTCACGTGGTACAAATTCGCGTCTGCCTTTTGACGTCAACGTGAAGCTTAACCTCTCTGTTATTGGCCAATAGCTCACAGGCGCTTTCCCAGGAGTCTTTGCAATAGTTAACTCGGGTTTCCTTCTCCTTTCTAATGTGGCGAATGATGTGTGTAACAACGAATAGTATATACAACCATGTTCGTTACGTCTCAGACACTTTCTTTCCTCTGGCTCTCCCTTCGTAGTTGATAAAACGCGTCATTATCAATATCTAAATAAAACTTTACGGCCTGGGCGGAGGTTGCTTTAACACCTCTATTAAAAACCCTCTCTACAAATTGTTAACGTTTCAAATTTTCTCCTCAGATTACACCGAACTTTCAACAAGTGTACTTACTCAGGTATTTTGAATTAAATACTTAAGAATGCAAGGGGAATTTTTCGATGCTATTTTTGTTTGTTGATCTTTTTGTAGTCTATTTATTTAGGGATATTTAGACCAATATAGTTGTAAAAGCAAAGCTAATCAAAACACGTGTACACGTAAAAGATGCAAATGACCAGCAGCGGCGGATCCAAGGGTAGGGTCCTGGGGTCTTACCCACTTTCCCCCATCCCCTCCCCCCACCCCCTTCCCCCCGCCTAAAAAAATCCTCCCATCCGACTAAGAACTTTTTTTTCAGTAATTTTATGACTTAAGAGTTGTAATACTGAAATGATTACTAATGAGGAACGGTACATGAGGATCCACGGAGTTGACGATTATAGGAAAGTGACTTGTAATTCGCCATTTGCACATCTCCTATAATACACCTTGTTTGCCCTCCAAATTTTGCATAAGCATTGCCTTCATCTTCTCTTGGGGAGACTGTAATACCCTGGAGAAATGAAAAATGAAGGTTATGCAAAATTTGGGGGGGCAAACTAGGTGTATTACTGGAGATGTGCAAATGGCGAATAGCAAGCAAAGCTGACAGATATCTGTAGACCCCTCACAAAAAAATCTGAATATACGTTTAGAACTGAAACCTCAAAGAACTCGTGTGAAGATAGCTTGTGTACTATTGGCCTTGGCATCATTGGCCTGTGTATGTAGACTGGGTTAGTGTTGTCTCGCATTGCACCGTGGGAGTCTTTTGTGGTGTTAGCTAGAACTTCATCATTGGCCATTACGAGTAATATCATTAAATTTGTCCCCCAAAACAGTCCCTTTTTGTAGTGGAACACAATACCTTAAAGGCGACTTCCAAATGAACAAAATGCAGCACAACAGATGAAATCGATGAGTATAACTGCATGCTACTTCGAACACTATGGAAATCTTTGATGTTTTCTTTCGTAGCCAATAAGCCAATATTTTAATCGAGAGCACCACAAGAGCATAAGCAACACCATAGTTTCCCATACTTATCCACTGAATAGAAACAGGCCGTTTCCGAGTTCAAAAGACTTTCACTACTAGAGCGAGGCAAAGTGCAAAACCTTTCTTGTGAAAAAGTATCCAGACTCTATAATTGGTTTATTTGTTTTATTTGTTTTGTTTTGTTTTCTGTAGAAGCAGACAGTGGCTTTTCATGGCGCTTTCTCTCTGCTTCTTCAATGCTTGGAGAACTTGGCTGGCGAAGTGGAGCAGCTCACGCTTCAAGGAGGAAAACTAGCGCTGAAAGTTTTTAAGGCCATCACTATAATCCAAGAGAAAAGGAGCGTTACTGTGGAGGTATTTACTGTGCTGTGGTATAATATTACCCTGGGGAGAGGGGTACTCCCTATGATGGCCTATACGGGGAGGTTCTGCCCGAAAGGTGTACCATTTTTAGGCTTCAGGTATGTGAAAGGGTAGGAGTTTCGCGCGTTGGGGCATATGAAGGGTAAGGGAAATCTGCCATTTATAAAGTATTTAAAGGGCATTTAATTAAAATATTTCGAACAGATGCACCTTATGGCTGTGTCAAAATTTATTTAACGCTACATATAATGAAAAGAAGCCTTATTTTTTGTAGGTATGAGAAAGGGGCACTATTTTTCAATCGAAGGTTTACGAAAGGGGTACCTTTTTTGTCAAAAGAGGTATTTAAAAGGGAACTGGTATAAGCCTCGGGGAGGGGGGGAGCCTCCCGTACAAAACGTTGTTGAGCACCCCCTCCTCCCGGACTATTACTGTCATTCGTTTGTTTTTGCTTACGATTAACACAGGGTATTGCCCAAAAAGAGCACGACATCACAGTAGAAACATTTGCGTCTTGTTTTTACTTCTTGTGCGTAGGTTTAGTAACTGAAAAGGAACGCGGAATTCGAAAAATTTATTTGAATAACATTACTTGACGTTTCAACGAATTAATGTCAAGATTGTCAAATGCGAAGAAGTTTAACACAGGTTGCGGATGAATTGTATATGACCAGAAAGAAAGGATCGAGACTAAACACTCAAGCGCAAGCGAATTCCACTGCACACGCGCGAAACTTCATATGTTTCCATCTTTTCTGTTTCCACTCTATATCCGCAACTTATGTTTGTTATGAGTCGTCTAAACCTCGTATAACGTTTTTTTCGTTCATTTTCTTCTCAAATCTTCCAAGAAGAGCTGGGAAAACATGACTGTGCGTATCAAAATTAAGTTGTGTTTTCAAGACGCCACTGTTGCCATCTTAACCTGTGTTGATTTTAATGTTACTGTTTTCATTTTAGTGGGTGGCTAATCCCGTAAATGACATGTACGCTGATGCTGTTCTAGCAGTGATTTTACAAGTTGAATCCAATCCTACTGCAGCTCAAGGTGATTACTTTACTTCAATGAAACCTCGCCTGACATTCACCTTGGCTGTGGTTAAACTAGTCAGTTTAATTTTTTAAGCAAAATATCGCATTTGCCCTAGCGTTCATTTTGTACACATTCAAGATTTATGATGTATGTTGCATGCTGTAGTGGAACACACGTAAGGATCATTGGATTAAAAAATAGGACCTTTTAAATCCCTTGATTGCTTTATATGCTCTGCGGTACTAAAACCTCGAAGCCACTGACAACTTATTTGTGGACTGTTTCCTTACAACAGACAAAAGTGTTCGGTGCAACTATATCTTATACCGTTATCTACCTCCTCGTTTGTCGTTATTTGGGACTTTAAGATCCAACGACGCGGACGACAACGAGAACGTCAAAAAAACAATTGGTTTAATTAACAAAAGCAACAACTTCGCACGTGCATCACACTTTTTTGTACATTTCTTTCCCGTTTTTGCACGACTACGACGTTAAAATGCCTAATTTCGCGTTTTATGGAGGACGTAAACAACCAACGACGAAACTTTTATTTCTCTTTCTGAGCTTGAATTTGGTCCCTTGAAATTCAGCTTCAGGAGGGTTCGCCTACAATGGACAAAGTAAGTGGGTAGGAATAATCGCTGTAAAGACTGAAATAACGCAAATAGGTGGTTTTCATGCAATCTCGGGAGACACAAATAACAATGGTGAAATGAACAAATGCTGGTGGACAAACAAAGCGAGCTAATGAGCGATCTTTTGTTTACCGTCCACCAGCATGGCGGCGATGACGTAACGTGAAAACCACCTATTCACTTTTTCAGCGACGTTCTTGTCGTCGTCGCGTCGTTGGGTCTTAAAGTCCCTATTGTTGTTGTTGTTGTTGTGTGTGTGTGTGTCTCGTGCCGTAAGGGCTTGGTTTTTACGAGCTAATCAAGCACAAGCGCATGTACAATCGCAAGGATAGATGTGCTGGTTTCACTGGCCATTTAAACGGACTAGACGCCAACTTAAGGATCAAAGTTTTTCCTTCTCTTCCCTTGCACTTATGTTTATCTGTTGCGTTTGCGTTAGTAGCCGTTTTCATTTGACACAACACTTGTTGTTCTTGTGCCTGTGTTGTGTTCGCTTCGCTTGAGAAAGCAAGGTTCGGTGTTGTCACAAGTGCATTTTGGGACTGTTTCGGGAACGTTACCGCTCAATTGTATGAAGCAAAAGCAAACAAAAAGAAATATATTTGTTTTTCTTCTCTCTTTTTTTTTCTTTTTTTTTTTGTAGTTGCTCGCTCCAAGAAGTCTGACTTGAGCAAGTTTCCTGAAAAGTAAGTTTTGGAGACAAATGTGATATCCATCATGCCACAACAGTGGTACAAACAAAATTGTTATAATTATATAGCGTGCGCTTCATTGGTTACTTCGAGGTCACACGAATTGAACATTAAAAGCCATTTCCCGTCAAAAGTTTCCGAGTAGACAGCAATGCAAAATCTATGATGTCAGAGGATGACAGTACACTGTTACCCTCGAATTTCCACTTCTTGCTAAGATTTGCCTTCATTAATTTTTACGCTTAGGAGTGTGCATATTTAATCAGTCGGTGCATGCAAAAGTGTACGAATCAAACAGTCAGCCAGATACTGGCCCGGGCGCTCTAACGACTGAGCTACGAGCTGGGCTATCGCACACTGCTAGGATTAACGAGCGAACTTATAGAGCGTTTTCACCCACGTGACCTGGGGTTATGTAATTTATCAAAGCAAAAGAAAAGTTTTCGCTTAAAGAAAGTTAAACTCCCTCAAGATTTGTCTGGGACACTAAAATAGCCGCTCTTTGCATTGTTTTTGGTCACCTTGTCCAATATGAGGGCCATGGCTTCATCTGAAAGCGCTCTATTGATCTCATCGACAATCTCTATTTACTTTTTGCCAGACTGGTGACACTTTTAAGGGGAACTTATGGTAACGAAGCAGTAACTCGAACCACAAAAGGTGACCAGATATCCGTGCGACTGGACGGACAAACAGCTGTTATCAACCTTGATACTCTGGTAAGAATCAACACTATGCAGAATTCCCTTGTCATAGGCCAGTCTTGGTGAAGTATCTGATAAACTATTATTTTAGATTCCGATCGCTGACTTACTCGGGCAGCTGCACCTCATAAAGAGAAAATCTGGTGTGACAATAAAACCAGCAAAGATGGCGAACTTAGCTAATAGTACTGGGAATGACATCTAAGAAAATCAGGAAATAAAATAAACTAAACTGCTCGAAAGATTGCCCTTCTTTAATGATAGGAAGTAACGACGAGGTGAGGCACGTCCCCCTGCACAGGCTGTGTGAGTGACTAGGGGAGGTAGCGTAAAATTCCGAACATAAGCCCCCGAGCTTATATATCTACGGAGGGCAATTTGCGTTTCAAAATCGATTAGGCTAGCTTATGGTTGGAAGGAAATTTATCGTTTTTTCTTTGTTTTATTTTGTATTTGATGGCATTATTTTTAAGTACAAGGCCCCCGGCGCTTATATTCGGAGGGGCCATTTAACGGAGAGTTTTTTGCATTACGAGTTTGAGGGGCTTCTATTTGGAGGGGCGTATACATGGTGGGGCTTATTTTCGGAATTTTACGGTATGTTAAGAAGAAGAAACAAGTGAAGGTAATGCAACATCTCGCCAACCGTTTTACTGCGGATCGCTCTAGCGAAGAGAATGAAGGGCTGGCGCTTCGATCGTCAGCTTTTGCATCTCTTTACGGTGGCAAATTTATCTTATCATTTTGGTTGATCACACTAATTTTATTATGAACTTATAGTTGGTGGGCGGTTTCCTATAGAAGCTATCTACCAGTCTAAAGCTAGAAGCTTGATCGAACCCAGAAATCCTTTCGTCGACATCTAGTGTCCAGTCTCCGTGAAGTTTCTGGAATTACCAACTGACATTTTTGCTGAGTGTTAATTTGATTTCTTTTCTCTGGACAGGAAGTGGATTGCCTTGATGAAAGTTTACACAGCCATGTTTCATCTGCAGTGAAGCGTCTTCATAATGCCATGGCTCCATGTCACCCTTGAGACTTCCCTTGTTCATTCAATCTTACAGATTTTTCTCATCTGGGTCTGAAAAAAGAACACTTAAACTCTTTAAGACAAGCCGGCTTTATAGGATAGCGAGCATTCTTAAAGCGACCCACGCTTATTCAAAAGAAGTGAGAGATTGGAGTTGTTAAGCCTTTCAATATGTACTGAAACATTCATTCGTTTCGGCTCGTTCAACGGCGACGTAAATTTCAGTATTAGGCTATTTTTTCTACGAAGGAATTCAAGTCCATCAGTGCAAAGTAAACTTGTCTTTAAGGGGCGGTTGGAGGAGGGAGGTGAAGAAAAATCGTTGTGAAAGTGTTCTGTTAATGAATACAGCGTCCTGACTTAACTTATTATAAAGTTGTCTTTGTTGTCTACTATTTCTAGCGAAGAAAAAAAGATGAAGTAAACCCTGTCTTTTCCTTAGTAACGATTTTTCATATTCCTTGCTCACTTTTCTAGGAAGTGTTTTCTCGAGGCTTGCTTCCTGTCCTTTACGACTAATTTCAGGGTTTACATTTCGAAATAAAGCACTAACACTTTGGATATTCTGAAGAAGTTTCATTAAATTGGAAATGAGAATATGGTTTGGGAAACTCTCTGTGAGCTGTACTTCGCCGCGCGACACTCCTCGTTGGAGGGTCTGGGAGGAATTTAAGGAGGAACGTGGCCTGACGAGACAAAGGACGACTGTCGGAGGGGGTGTGGGGGTTACAAAGCTTATACTTTCCTGATACTGCCAATATTTGAGGGTCTCCAGTACTTTTTCGGGATCTGGGATCTGTGTCATCTGGAAACGGGATTTGGGATTAAGAACATCGAAGGCCCCCCTTACGCGAAAAAAGGAGGCCAAAAACCATCTGGTTAAGAACAGTGATGAAAGAGCTGAAGGAGTTGGGTTTAACATGGTTTAAAGCACAGGCCAAAGCTAGGGACAGGTTAGAGTGACGAAATTTGATCGCAGCCTTATGTCCCAACCGGGGTGAAAAGGTTGAGTGAGTGAGTGAGAGAGTGGGTCGAGATTCGGGATTTAAAATATGCAAAACCATCGGGATTATGGGATTGAAAGGGCGTTCGGGTCGGGATGACGGGATTGAAGAACCCTATAGGGAAACCCAGAAGCCAGAAACTTAATATGATATGTCCTTTGCACACCAGATGTTTCGAAATGTCTTAATAGGCTTCTTCAGCCTATTATCCCGATGTAGGTCGTCTGATGTTAAATCTCAAGAGTTGTTTCAATTTTCTTCCTATTAACGTGCAAATATGTGGCGTAATTTATGAAACAAAGGGCAAATTTTCTTTCCAAGGAAAAACATAACACAATTTACATCAGGAAAAAAAAATTACAAGTTAAAGAGTTCTACTGGATGTATTCAGGTCTGATCAATAGGGATCCCAACAAGGATAGTGAGGTGCTCGCTTGGAACTTGTAGCAACCACGTGTAAATCCTGACCAGAGCAATCGATGAAAACCGATACCGGAAAACCAATCGACCCTTATCGATAATCACGTTTTGATTGATATCAATAGTATCTGTCAATAGATAGAAATCGACGGCCATAACTTTTTATGTTGTTAGCGCTATTGATTTTAACGATGTTACCGATTTCATCATCTTTGATGATCTACTGAGCGCTCAATGATAGGAAGAGGAGGGTCCTAACATGCGACGTGGAAAGTCAACCCGCACCTCTGCTCTCTCGACAAAGTAAAATCTTAAAGGTCGTTTCTGACTTTAATTACCTCGTTTCATGGGCCAACTCCACCGAAAAGGGCATTGAGGTCAGGAAGAGCCTAGCCTGGAAGGCACTTAACGACATGTCGAGCATCTGGTCATCCAATCTTTCTAGAGATCTAAAGATAAGAGTCTTCCAAGCGACTGAGTCTGTCTTACTTTATGGCTGCGAGGGGTGGTCACTTACTGTCACAATGGAAAAGTCCCTCAATCGGAACAACACCCGCATGCTTGCCCATGTCCTTAGCAACAGTTGGCGAGACCGAGTCACCAACGCCGAACTTTACGGCGACCTTCCAACTTTGTCAGACAGGATCGAATTCAGAACGCTTGGTCTTGCTCGCCATTGCCACTGTCACCGCGAATTGCCAACAAGCCAGCTTGTCCTGTGGCGGCCGACACACGGACACCTACGACGCGATTGTCCAGAGTCTACATTCATAGACACTCTGATTTTATCGATAATTATTGAGCGTTATTATCGACTTTATCGATTGCACTGGTCAGGTGCGAGTGTAAATGAATCAGGCTCCAACCAAATCACAAGAAAGGCAAGGCTTTCTGTTTTCAGTTTTAGTTTCAGCTTTTTATTCACACTTTATACACTGTTTACTTTGATCAGAAATAAAAATATAGAAAAGATAACTTCGATTATTAGAATTTTCAATAAAATACACCTTACCTTATCTACTTTACTTGTTTTTGCTTGCTATGTGGTTATTTTCCCGATCCGTTTTGATTTAAGCTATTTCCTTTAACCCCGAGTTTCGGGGTCAGGGACATGTTGATGTCGTGTAAGGTTAATTTTTCTACGTCAGTATAGAATTTAACCGAAGTGATTTCCTTATTAAAATTTATTAAGAAATAATAATAATCGAAGTTATCTTTTAATTTTATATTTTTACAGGTGCCGGCTCCTGATTTTTATTAATGATTTTAATTCCCATGGTAAGCTTGGGTTGCCTGTGGACTCACGCGACAATTGTCGGTTTTCGGGACTGAATCGGAAAGCTTCGGTCTTCGTGATGTAAAAAAGAGGCGAGGCTCCTAAGGTCTACGAAACACGAAAACAAATTATCTGAAGGAAGCTCAAGAGGAGATATTTTTGTGGCATCGATGTGGCGAGATTCATTTCATTTTACTACGGCTTTCAGTATTTTGGGGGTAGTAACAATCATAATGGATTTACTTGACAGTGGAGGGGAGTATCTGTGACTTTAAAAGTGGCAAGAGAAGGATGTGTCCTTAAAAACCGTTCAGTCAAAGAGTGTAGCCTGTAAAATAGTATGAATCGCCAAGCAAGTTCACAGTCCCCGCAGAAACCGCCAAGAATAAACGGAAACCAACCAGGTGGACCATCAAATGCCGACTTAGCAAGTATCTTTGAATGCCCTGTGTGTTTTGATTATGTTTTGCCTCCTATTCTTCAATGTAGTAGCGGTCATTTAGTTTGCTCGAACTGCCGCCCTAAGTTATCATGCTGTCCGACATGTCGTGGTCCTCTAGGAAGTATTCGAAATTTAGCCATGGAGAAAGTTGCGAACACGGTTTCTTTTCCTTGTAAATATGCCTCAGCTGGCTGTGAAGTTAACTTGCCACACACTGAAAAACCGGAACACGAAGAATCCTGTGAATTTCGACCGTACTCTTGTCCTTGTCCTGGAGCTTCGTGTAAATGGCAGGGATCTTTGGACTCAGTAATGCCTCATCTTATGCACGCCCATAAATCTATCACAACTCTTCAAGGAGAAGACATTGTTTTCCTTGCTACTGACATAAATCTTCCCGGAGCTGTTGACTGGGTGATGATGCAGTCCTGTTTTGGACATCACTTCATGCTTGTACTAGAAAAACAAGAGAAATACGAAGGACTCCAACAGTTTTATGCCATTGTTCAGTTAATTGGAACACGTAAACAAGCTGAAAACTTTGTATATCGACTAGAATTGAATGGAAATAGAAGGCGATTAGCTTGGGAAGCGACTCCAAGAAGTATCCATGAGGGAATTGCTTCTGCCATTTTAAACAGTGATTGTCTTGTGTTTGATACCAATATTGCACATTTGTTTGCTGATAATGGAAATCTTGGTATCAATGTTACCATATCAATGGTCAGTTGAATGGTACTGCACTGTATTTTTTAAATGTACTGGTGGAAATGTAGTTGTTATTTGCTTTTGCTGATACTGGATAACGTTGGTGAAACAATTTGTCTAACTTAAGTATTTTTGGATCGTGTTTAAGTTCTAGTTTATTTTTTGTCTCAGGTAGTTTTTATTTTTCTTTTGTTTCAACTTTATTAGCATACATTACCATACCCAAAAACAATAGAAAAACAAAAGTTACCTGAGATAAAAAATTAACTACAACATATATGTAATCCCTTGTGGTGCCATGCTCTACAGAACAAACTTTCAAAATAACAGAAACTTGCCATTGTCAGATAATAGGACAAGTGTATTGTCATGAATATGACACATGAAGAAAATAGATATTAAAAAAAGCTTAATTTCTTTTTTGCTTATTCATGTGTCAGTTTTTGTGGCAGCTACAACTAGAATTTTCAAACAAAAAAATCTTTGAAGGAATAAAGGAAGTCTGGAAATGCCCTGTGTGCAATAACAAAGCTAAGTTCTGGCTCATTGAGAAACACAATTTCAAAGCCATGAAGTGTGGTTTCTACAACACTTAGAAATGCCTCTCCCATGTTTATGTTGTAGTTAATTTTTTTCATCTCAGGTAATTTTTGTTTTTCTTGTGTTTCTGGGTATGGTAATGTATGCTAATGAAGTTGAAACAAAAGAAAAATAAAAATCACCTAAGATCAAAAATTAACTACAACACCAAATTATAAGTAGAAACAAGTAGTGTTTGAATATTAAAATTTTGTTCATATATCCTTTCTTAAATCATGGGTTTTTTTTCTCACTCTATTGTTTATACAGTGTAATGTTACATTAATAATTTTGTATGTTTTTTTGTCATTACATGTATATTTAGAATTTGTTCTTCTGTAGGGCAAAGCACCTAAAAAGTAACAAAAGTCTGAATCTTGCAAAGTGATAGTTAAATTTACAATATCTTAAAATGTCTAAATGTTACAGAACATGACCAAGTTGTTCAAAACAGGGCCAAACCAGGATCTGCACCAGACTTTAATGCCAATATTCCATCCATCTACTTTGAGCAGTTATTTTTTCGTTTTAAAATGATTTCTAAATTTCCTTTTGAGAGAAAAACAATTTACATCACGTAAGTGCTCAAGACCATGAAAACAATATAGAAAGTCAGCAGAATTACTGTATTTTCTTGATTAAATACCAGGCCCTAAATAAAAATTGCCTTAGTTCAAATAGTGTCCTTAGGCATTAATGAAAAATGTATAAAATGCTTTAAGTTTAACAGTAGGATGTATAAAACGTTTAAGAACAATAATATTATTTTAAAAAAACTTTCCTTAACAAAGACTCGACCAAAATGAAGTATAGGTTTAAGTAAATCTTCAAGTTTGATATAACAAAATATTGAAAGATGCAGTTAGCACTGTGGAAGATGATTCCATTTTCTTCAATGGTCATCACAGATAATAGTGCTGATATTCTATGGCACTAAAATCAGTGAGTGTGGAAAGCAATTTAGTACAAGGTGGCCTATAAATTCGAGTTCCAAAAAATTTTCTTTGACACACTTCTCCAATTTACAAACAACAGGGAAATTCTTTTACACTCCTTTGGGCTTTAATTTAGCTTAATTTCACAAAAACTGTTTGAATAAAACTTATAGTGCGGGCTCTTTAAACATGAGAAACAAGGAACTAATATTTCATACACAGGATGGCATTTACCATTATTTTTTTTAATAAACAGACAGGTTATGGAAATTAAATATAACCATGAGTTTGTGATACATTCTGTAATTTAAAGAGTGTGGTGGAAGTTTGTACAAACATACTTTATCAACTTCAAACAAATAAAAATAGTTGGACTTTTCCCTTTGCCTTCTACTATTAAATTTAGAAAATAAAAATCATTCTTTTGACAAACTATTGCTTTTTGTTGTGGCAGTAAGAAAACTGAAAATGTCTAACCACTACTTTTAATTAATGATGACATCATCCCTTGTGACCGCTGGCTGATGTTAACACTGAAAAGGGTTTAACACAAAGGTCACTTTATGTTTTTGCCTGTAACATTCAAATTTGCTCCACAGAGAAGTGTCTGTGCCCCATTAGTATAAGAGTGAAAAACAGGAAGAAAAACCTATTGGTGTTCATTTTAAGGAGGTGTCATTTTAAGCAGGTGTCAGGAAATATTTTGCATTGGATGGGCATGTAAAAAACAGAAACTATTTAACTTATTAAAAAGTGTTCTTCATGGTCTGTGTAGCTGGTGGGATTAGCAGGCAAAGGCCATAGTGTTCTAGAAAGGAACCCCAGGCACAACAATTATTATCCCACCAGCTATGCCGGCTATGTTATTCACTAAAATTTGCTTTTGGTACAGTACAATCTTAAAACCATGGATAAGACCTTTTTCATTTGGCTGGAAATTCAGTAATAGCTTAGCAACCTCGCTTCCCTTGAGGGGTTTAGCCTGCATAGAGATGCCCCCCCTCCCTGATTATTTATTTATTTATTTATTTATTTATTTATTTATTTTTGTTAGGGGTGGGGGAGTCTGTAGACAGGCTATGAGGGGCTCAGAGGCACTTTCTCTGCGTGGAAAACACACTAAGAAAAGTGAGTGCAGGCATAAAATAATATGCACATACTGCTTGGCAGTATGTGCACCTGCACTCACTTTGTTCAGCTGATATTCATCACAAACTAGGGTGCCCCTACAGAGGGATACAGAGGAGACAGGCTGAGGCTACTGTTAGTTACCATGCCCACCCATGGGTTTTAACAGCGACCTGTACTGCAGGAACTTAACTTAGAGAGTTCTGGATTATGATAATGTGTAGTGTTTTATCATACCTGCTCTATGCTGATATGAAACAGTAATACAAAGATTTTTTTTTTCTTTTTTTCTTTTAACCATAGCAAACATCAAGGGTCACCAAGACCTGGACAATAAAATATTATAACCCACACAAAATTTTTTTATTTTCAATATTACATTACATTTCAAATTACGGAGAAGTTTATATTACGACCTTGCACCCACTTTTCTCTCCAATAACATATTAGCCTTTCCCTAAACCCTTAACAAAGGTTGATCTAATAATTATTATCAGTGTGTACCAGTTTCAAGCATTACAAGTAAATTTTCGAGATTGTTTTAAAAAGGCAGAAAAATGACTGAACTTGGACTCGATACTTGTAAAGTTTCTCAAGTCTTCTCAAAAGGATAAGAATTCCAGAAAAGGGCTAGCAAAGTATGGTCAACGAGTTTTGGATAAGATCAGGATCAGAACAATTTTCACAAACCGTTTTCGTTACTTTTATGGTGAAATGAAATACTTATTGTTCTACTTTGTTTACATATTCCCGTTAAGTACTATTTATACAGACCAAAGCTATCAACACTAACAGATATTTGGTAGCGTGATCGCAAATTCGTAGCCCTCGTGACTAGTGGTTTGACGTCATTCAATGTCACGCAATATATAGTGAGTATCTCAAGGCAGAGTAAAGGCTGGGAATAAACACACTTTCCTTTCCTTTTAGAAGAAGACCTTCAATCGCTGAAAACTAATCGCTTCGCATGTATCAGCAGGTCAGTAAAATTAACATAATTCTCAAAATTTAATTTAATTTTCTCTTTTTTCTCGTATTAAAGTACAAGCCGGACAATAGCCGCCGATTGAGTAAGGTTAAGTTTTAAGATTGGTTTACGAGACAGTTAAGCTCAAGTCATATTCCATTGGGTGAAACTTCCATCGAGAACATGGGCTTATATACTATACGACCAAAATTCCTAGCTAGAAGGAAGTTAAACATCTGCTGATTTATGATATTCTTGGGTAGTTAAACTCTTTTTCACTTCGAAACAACTCCAGTTACAATAAGCTTTGGTATAGCGAGGCTGGTTTATTTGGAGCGTGACGCACTGAACCACTTATTAATGCTTATCTTAGGATCGGTTTCAAACACTGCTCGATCACGCTCCACGTGTAAAACAAAGAGTAGCATCCATTTCATCTGTACATTGAGTAATATTTATCTACCTAGCTCATTTAGAAACTGGATTTTCAGTCAACATTACCTACTTCAAGGGGTTAAAGCTGGTTTCTCACTCAACATTTATTTGTTGATTAACAAATCACCTGACAAATGTTGTACCTCGTTTTCAACACGGACCCTGCCATGTTTAATGCCCGACGTAGTCAATCGAACCCAATCGAACTGCAGTCATTCGAATGACTTCGATTGGGTTCGGTAATCGAACTTAACTGAACTCACCCGACAATGTTGCCAATCGAACACAATCGAACGTTGATTATTATGTTTGATTGTTTAAGTCTTAAACAATCAAACATAATAATCAAACACTGCATGCAACAATCGAACATAAAACCAGTTTCATCTGGTTTAAAACAAAAGGCGTTGTGTTCAAATAAATTAAGGCTTCACTTTCAAACACAAGTACACAAAGATGTCACAGAGCTGATGAGAGACCCTGGGAACGAGGTTGGTCACAGAGGGCGGAAAACGCAAACAAGTTTCTGGAAATGATGGTTAAAGGGACTGGTTCACGATAATGCGCATGTGTGAGTTCTGACAGTAGCTGATTGTTTTTCAACCAATCGGAAGCGAGTTAGATGCACGCAAGTAGATTTACAAAATTCAAATTAATTGTTCGCGACGCGAGAGTATTTCCGGGCATTTGGTTTGAATTTATTTATCCCCATAATTCAAGTTTATTCTTTGCTACTCCTCAGATATATGTTGCAGCCGATAAGAATAAGATTTACAGCCCTGTCTTGCTTTGAAACAAACATTTACCAACGTGTATTTTTACGAGGTCGTACCCACGCTAACAAAACAGTCACCGATCGGCAAACAAAATTTGTAAACAAACATCTTATTACTGTTCTCTCAGTTCGCCTTATATAAATTCAGAAATACCTACAAATAGCGCCTGACCGGTGACAAAAACACACAACGTATAAGTATAAAGATTATCCTTAATTGAGCATAAATTTCAATTGCTTATCAGCAAATGAACAAATTCATTCGCGTTGCATCGGGTCAATGTTCCGCAAAACAAATGTTATCGAGTAGCACACATAAAGAAACTAGATTATAAACAGAATATTCAGGTAATAATTTATTTTAAAAACATCAATTCTTAAACATATACGATCGTAAAAGCAAAGATACAAGGAACATTTCAAGTGTACCAGATCGGTAAAGATTGCGCGGCCTGTTGCGGTATAACTACAGGTCGGAGTCAAAAATCAAATCAAAGTTGAACGAACTCATGCCTTTAACCACTTTCCAAGTCTCGTGTATTCTTTTCGTATGCCACACACTACTCCTAGAACCATACCAGTTTGATAGGCTAAGCTTCTCTATCTCCAGAGACTCTTGAGAACGTCCTGTTGCCGGACGGCCACGATGCTTTTCTGAACCTCCATGATCAAAACATTATTTTTTGCGTCTTCTTAAAACGCAACCAGTCAAACGACACAACCACACGTTAATCACCACTACCGAAGTATAACTAGACCAGCCAAAGCGACGGATGTCCGAATAAAACGAAGGATTTTCAATGATTGTACCGGTAATGGCGATTTCGAATTTAGTGTTGACCCAACAAATTTATTCTGAAGAGACAAACGGCGCGCATGCGCATTATCGTGAACCAGTCCCTTTAAAGGCTACCATGAGTGCCCGCTTTCACTGTCAGTGTCTGTGAAAAGTTTATTTTTAAGAAGAAAAGGGAATATCCAGCTCTGTAGGTAACTGACGATGGCCGCGGCCAACTTGGACATTTGCAACATGAACTGATGCCTGTGCTTGCACATTTCCCAGTACTAATTGTGAATTTATTGATTTTGAATTACTTAAACGATAAAGATTTTAGTTAATTCCGGTTTAATTGAAATATTTTTGTTTTCAAACTGCTTCAAATACATATTAGAGGGAGATCTTTCCGATTCAACTGCATGGATGTGTTTTGTCTTTTTGCCAAACAAAATCGAACCAATCGCGTCGATGAGTTCAATTGGTTCAATTAAGTTCAGTAATCGAACTCACGCTTACCGAACCAATCGAACAACGATGTGACTGATTGGGTTTGATTAAGTTTGTCGGTTCTGTTCCATAGACCACGCCAGGTTAATGTTGAAATTGCCCATTAAACCTGTTGAATGTTGTTGAATAAGAATAGCTCGGAGCTGAGATGGGCTTTATTCTATCAACAGGATTCAGCAATGTTGAACTGTGTCTTTCTCCTTTAATTTAACAAGATCTTTATACCACTTGGTTCACGAAATGTTGTGGTTTTCAGACAATATGTCATACAAGGTATTTAAAATTAAGCATTTCAACATTTGAACCCCATTTAAGGCTAGACTTGAGGAAATGAGCAAACATTTTGGATAAAAAAAATGAAACATTCGGTACGATCTTTGAGACCAGGCGGGTTTCCACTAGAGCTTTGTGGTAGTGAATCAATCCTGGTCAATGAAACATTTGGTATGATCTTTGAGACCGGGCGGGTTTCCACCCCAGGCACCCCACTCACATATTTTAATGACGGGGGGGTCCGAAGGATTTTTTTGGGTCTGACATTTTGGCCAAAAGGGATTTTTTGGGGTCTATGAAAGATGCTGGGATTTTTGGGGGTCACGAAAACAACACAGGCATTTTTTTGGGTATTGTATTTTTCATCAGCTCAAATTAACAATAACATAAGCGCAATTTACTGCTTGTGTGGTATTACGGGATATTTCTGAGATTGTAATCTATGTGAAAAGTAATTACCGGCACTCCACACGCATCTAATCCAGAGAGAAATATTCAATAGGTCACGTAATTCAAGGCCTTTCAAGCCAGTCATCAAGACCACAATGGAAACACTGTATACAAAGTAAACTGAGGGATTTTTTTGGGTAGACAAATTCTGAAGTTGGGATTTTTTTGGGTATAAAATATGAACCTCTGTCGGACCCCATCATTAAAATGTGTGAGTGGGGCCCCAGGGGTTTCCACTACCGTGGATGGTTTCTTTTCTCATTATTAGTATTCTACATTTCTGACTTTGTGAAGGAGATTTCTATGTTGCATGTGGTTCAATATTATCCTTGGTTTACTGCGCTTTTCAAAAATATGCGAACTCTGAAGTTGAAAAGTCACCTTCACAGTTGCATTTTTCGCTGCTGTCAATCTTGATTGCGATCACAAGCAACAATGGAACCCTGACACAAAAAAAAAACACACAAATGGATTGAAATCCACCAATCACAAATTACAAACCATGACCTTTTGAACCCACTGAGGTAAACTTCTGTTTCCTAAGAGGTCTGTTAAGATTATTGATGGGAGCAAAAACCGCAAACATCAGTTGCCTTTTTAACTTCAGAATTCTTGTGTTTTTGGAAAGCACAGTGAATTTTATTTTCAGTTTTGTTTCAAACTCATTATCATTATACTTTACCATAGCCAAAAACAAAAGAAAATAAAATTTAGACCAAGGATAAATTGAACCACAGCATCTATTTTAAGAAGGGAACGATATGACATTTCACAGGCACTCAGTTAAAGCAAAGGACTATCATGTGTCATTTGTCTGTCATTTGAAATGAGCATTAAAATTTGATTGCCTATATTATTAGTTTAGGTGAATCTGTAGAAAGATATACATGTTTGGATTTTAAATGCAGACTTCATTTGTCAGAGTGAAGAAGGTCGTTGCATTAAATGGGTTTTTCTATTATTTTAGTGGAAAGCATATGGGCATGTTGCTATGACAAATCACAGTGAACATAGTAGAA